AAAACGGAACGGAGGCCCGGCTGTGGCTGCCGCTGCCGCTGCGGTTGAGGATGTTGAGGTGCTACTGTTGGCTTTGGTGGTTGTGCCGTCCGTTGAGCCTGGTGCCGGGGATTGTGTGCCGTCGACGCCTGCTTCGCTGGGGGTGTCGCCGTCCTTGTCGAGTTTGGATTTTAAACGCGCTTTGCGCTCGCGCTCGCGCAGTTCGTCGTGGCGACTAAATTTCTTGCCGATTCGCAAGTCCCGTGTTAAGTCAGACATTTTGAGCTTTTGCAGGTCGACGACCTGGTCCTCTGCGTCTTCGGGGGTAAGAGAGCGGGCTCGGCGGGAACTGGATCGTGATCTGATGGCATTGGGCGTGCCAGTCTTGCGCTTTCGTGGTGCGGGGGCTTCGGTGCCGTCTTGTTGTCGGGGTGCTTTTCGCTGGCGCTTCTTAGACCGTGAAGGCTCGCCTTCTGGTGCAGATGTGGTGGCATCTGCGGGAGCGGTTGATGGTCTCCTGGCCCTCGTTCTGGTGGTTGTTCTGGAGGCGGATGTGGGCTCTTCTGAAGCAGTTGCAGATGAGCTCTGTGTTTCTCTCGCTGGCGCTGTAGCCCTGGCTGCGCCGCCTTCTTCTGATGATGTGGATTGTTCGGGGGTTTCTATTGAAGTTCTTGGTGGTGGTTTGGCGGCTGATTGACGTCTCGTTCGCGCGCTCGGTGCTGATTGTGACGGAGTATCGGCTTTTGGTGGTTCCGTAGCAGGAACAGTAGTTGACGTCGTACCACTGGCTGCTGGCGTCTCTTTTTGTATTTGTGGTCGTGAACTGGACTCTAATTGGGATGCCCGTCTCGTAGTCCGCCTTGATGGTTCAACAAGGCTTTCTTTCTCAGATTCCTTTGTTGGTTCCTGGACCGCGGTTTCAGGCACCTCTTGCGGGATTTCATGAGTTTCTGGTTCCTTTTCTATAACCTCCGGCACCGTCTCTGGCAATGCCTCCGAGTTTTCATCAATTGTAGGTTGGGGTGGTGGTGCGGTTTTTGTGGTGGGTGCTGATGCTCCTGGTCTTGGTCGCGCGACCGGTGCCTTGGGCTTGAAGGCAAGCCCGCCTTTCTTCTTAAACATGGAACTCATGCCGTGTTAGTAGTGAGTACTATACCAGTGACGGAAATTTGAGAGATATCAACAGCGTGACGCCGTTTCGCCGGACAATTAATGGGTTTACACTTGAACGCTCACCCCGAGAAATAAAGTGGGTTGCCTGCAGAGCGTTTGGCTGCAAGCGAGGTTTAGCCGGGTGCAGCCATCGATAAGACTACCGAAATAGGCTTAGCGCGGGACTAGTGTCCTTTGGCCATGCCTCTCTGATCTTCGAGTCGACTTGGAAATTTCAACTCCTGGTCTCGATCACCCTCCCCCCATCACCAATCACTTCCCCCCAAAGGCAATTCTTCACGGAACTTGCTTTGATGACAGCCCGCGCGTTGTCAGCTGCAGGACGAGACGTGGCTCATGAGCGTAATAGCTGCCAAGCTCTCGCTCTGAACAGCTTCTCGCACCGAGTTTCTGTGAACCTTTGTTTCGTTTGACGCGTTGTCTGATGCCTGTAGCAACGTCGCCGTCCACGTCGCCTCGTCCATCCGTGGTTCCCAAAATGGAGGACAGGAAGAGGCCCGCCATCGGCGGTTCCGATGATCTCGCTGCTCCCCCTAGTAAGCGAGTCGCCGTGAATGGATCCAAAACAAAAGATGATGCGATAGAGATGAAGGAAGAAGGCTGGATCGAGGTGAGTGTCGCACGACCATGATTTTCGATGCCTGTTCGGGCAACCTGGCACACGACCACACTATTGCACTCGGATTTCGAGACTTTTGGTACCGGTTTCCCTTGTCTGTGTGGTGCTTTGGGAAATTTGCGACCCTGAACCTGACATGGCTTGCGAGGATGTCGCATGGCGTCGTGAGGGGTCGTAACCAGCGTCACACTTGGCCTTTTACTGCAACAATTTTGGCTTCAAATATCTCGGCTGTGCTCAGGCTCTGCCAATGAACGATTTTGGTTGTTCTTCCCCAACGACTTTCGTGCTGACGATCAATTTCAGGCCTATACCAAGGGGGCAATTTACCGCCAAATGCAAGAGTACAGTCGTAAAGCTGCGACTGCTGAATCACGCCTCGAAGAACTGCATAAACGATGTGTACATCATGATGACCATTTAAGGATCATTGATGGCTGGTGGCGCCAAGTAAGTGCCGAAGACAACTGCTATCGACGCAGTCCAAAACTAACAGGCTGGCTAGTTACTCGAGGAATTGGAACTCGTAGCAGAGCCTACATTATCCGGAAATGCACCCACGACAGGTACGGAAGAGTATGTTGCCAATGTTGGGCCCAATACTGATGCTTGATACTCCTAGATCCACCCTATCTCAGCGCAATCGGTTTCAAAGACTTGAGCGAGTTTCAATCCCATCTCTCAGACAAGGGCAAAGCTATAAAGACAAAAGCCGAATCACTTCTGAATCGTATTGCCTCGCAGCGTGGCTCCCTGAGTCCAGACGCCGCTTCTTTGGAAGCGAAAGTGAATAACTTGCTTGCCGCGCAGAAGGAATATATGCTGAAGCTGGATCGTTTGAACACAGAGAAGGATCAACTCTCCGAACAATTGAATGCCGCCACCTTAAGATACTTCAAAGCCGAAAAGAAATTAGATAGAGCCAAAAGCTCTCAGGTGCAAAAGTTGGAGCAGCAGGCCTTTGCAAATGCTACCCGCCCTTCTGGAGCGACAGCAGGGACAGCAGCGGCATCGAGTGAAGTCGGCTCAGAACAACACGAAGTGAATGGTTCATCGGATGAACTATTGCTTAAATACGAGGAAGCAACGGCCTCTGCAGCGAAGCAGAAGGAACAACTTGATACTATCCTGTCGGAGTTGAAGACGGCGCAGGACGAGAATTCAACACTCAAAGCCCGCCAAAACACTTGGACAGATGAGGATTTTATCCGAACAGACGTTTTCAAGCAGTTCAAGGCGCAGAATGAAGATCTCATTAAGCGAATTAATAATCTAGAGGCGACAAATAAGCAACTTCGGGAGGAAGCCGAAAAACTGCAGGCAGAGCGGACGTCCTACAAAACCCAATTGGAAGCTGATGCGAGTCAGGTAACACAGGAGTTGGAGGCTGATATCATAACCAGAGATCAGGACCTCGCCCGAGTTCGTTCTGCTAGGGACGAGATTCTTGCAGAGAACACACAAAGAAAAGCCAGCATGGAGCAGGAGAAAACCTCACTAGGGCATGTCAAGGAATTGATTAGCGCGAAGGACGATCGCATTGCCGCTCTGGAGTCTCGACTTTTGCGGCTTGAACCTGCCGAGGACCAGGAAATGGCCAACGCAGATGATCTCGCGGAGCTTTCCGAAGATGAGCTCAGGCAAAAGTATAAAAAGCTTCAACAAGATTTCCAGTCTATCAACCAGGAACTGCCATCCATCGAAAAGGCGTACAAGAAGATGAAAGACCAAGCACAGAAAAAGGTGCTGGACTTTGTAGCCTTGGAAGAAAAGGTTTCTCTTTTGATTGCAGAGAAGAGCAAAGCAGACCAAAAGTACTTCGCTGCCAGAAAGGACGCCGACACCCGAAATAATGAGATAAGATCACTGCGACACCAAAACAGCAAGAGTACCGAGATCATTGCTCAGTTGAAGGACTTGGAGGCACAAAATAGATTACTCCTTGGCAATTTGGAGAAGCAGGTTGCTGATTTGAAGCAGTCAAATGCTCTTTTGACGGCGGAGAACAAGAAGATGGAATCGACTAGTCTCGAGGCGGTAAGACGTTCTGATTCTCTAAATCGACAAATCAGCGACTTGACGAGTTTGGTGAAATCTCGAGACAATGCATCTGCAGCTGTACGAGAGCGAAGTACGGTGCAAGAAGCCGAGGTTGAAAAACTAAAGGTTCGAATTGAGCATATTCAGAAGGACCGAGATAACTGGAAGAACAAGGCACTGAGCAACTCATCGGAGGAGGAAGAAATGCTTCGGGTAAGTTTACGCATTCTCCAATTTTGCCGTGTCATCAATGCCAAGATGATGCTAACATACATCGCAGACATTTGCACTATGCACAATTTGCAGGAATAACTTCAAGAACACGGCTCTAAAGACTTGCGGCCACTTGTTCTGTAACAAATGCGTGGACGATCGTATTAGCAACAGAATGCGCAAGTGCCCGACATGTTCACGAGCCTTTGATAAGATGGACGTCATGCCTGTCCATCACTAAGTAATTTAATTTTGATTGGGTGGTATACTGCTACACTGAAGGAACAAAAAAAAATTTCATTACAAGATAACGCTTCCGCAAGGGCACCCGCGACTGGATTTGGCCAACATTCAGCTTGGAATGCTGCAGCCATGTATATCGATTGCTATTAGAAGTGGGTGATGGGCAGCGATGATAGCTATTCATGATGTCTCTCGCTCTATACGAAGGCTCGCGAAGGTCGAGGCGTTTCACCAAGTCATGTTAAGTCCGGCACATACTGACGACATGTCATTGTTTGGATACTGTACTACTAGGAGCAGAGGTGGTAGTGGGGTTTGAACTTCGACTGTGTACATGGTAGCAAAGTATTATTATAGATCTAAGGATCGTCGGAGTTCGGGAAGGGTAGCGGAGTTTGGGGCTACATTGGATACTCGAATAAACTTTTCAACGTTGTTGAACAGATATCTAAATGCCGTCGTAATGCCTGGTGATTGGATACGTCAGGTGGGTATATTCAGGCTGTTTTTGTCAAGTCTGGATTGACGTAACAAGCATCCTCTCTATTTGACACATCAGTTTGTCTGTAGTCGACTTGTTCAATCTATCTACGACGAGTAGATCCGAATCCTGTACTCTCATGCCTCGATGAACTCCCGCTGCTCGAGGATGATGCCCAAGACGCGGCCGGCGACGCACGAGGACTGGCCGGCCCAGAACCCCAAGTATTACTCCCCCATCCACGATCATACGCTCTCCTCTCATCATTTCTATTCCTATTGCCAGCCAGATACCCCGCCGCAGCACCTCCCGCCAAACCACTCCAAAATCCGGGACTCCAACCTGATCCTGAACTCGACGGTTTCGTCCCAGGATACGGTGGAGGAGGATCGTTCCCGGATCCCCATCCTCCTCCGCCAAAGCCACCACCACCACCTCCTCCTCCTCCCCCCCATCGCCGTCCAGTATTCCCCCGTGCCTGTCCGCCCCCATTGCCGGCAACACAAGCCGAGTACACAATCCACCCCAGCACAGCAACAAACACGACCGTGAACAACCACGCACTCAGATCCGTGCCGCCCCTCCCGTCACTGAAATACCCGCCATGCGGGTTCGCTATGTGCGGATACCGCTCCTGGCCCTTGCTCGTCAACAGCAAGCTGTATTCGACGCCGCAGGAGCCCTTCAACACATACGGGTCGTCGGCACTCGCGTACCCCTCGCAAATGACGTCCGTACTACCGAGTTTCAGCTCCTCGGGCAATGTAGCCGTACAGCTCCATTCAATATCTTCGCCGCCATACGAAGAACCCTGATTCGTGCAGCGCATGGTGTCGATGCTGTAGAGGGAGCATAGCTCTTTTGATGAGGTGCATTTTAGCTGGGGGATGGCCGAGACGCGGCGGTGGGTGGTTTTGGCGCCGTTGCCGCGGAGTGTGAGGGACTGGACCTGCGAGAGGAGGATGGCATTTTTGGGCCTGGCGGCGACGGCGAGGAGGGGGAGGGTGAGGAAAGTTGTGAGGTGGTGGAGGTGCATTTTTGTGAGAGCGAGAGAGAGAGAGTGTGTGTGTATGTGTGTTTTTGATATCGATTTTTGATGGGCTCTCGTTGGTGGACGTGGTTTGTTAGAACTCGGTCACTGTGGAGATTGCATGTCTCATGGAGCCGGGATTCATTGGGATGCCACGCACGCGGCAGGGAAGGTTGGGTATAGGAAAAGTCTTTTGTATGTAATGGCGAATGTGAAAAATTAAATGGTTTAGAGGCAAACTTCTGAATTGCAGGAGAGGACACGATGTCCAAAGTGATTCGATTGAGGTTCGTGTGGCAAGGCTGAGTGACCCGGCATAAAGAGTGACGTGGTTCGGGCAAGCTTGACGCCCGAGGTCGCGGAAAATGGGCTGATTGGTTGCCCCAACCCGGAGCTGCCCCTCCATTGATTGATGGGTGGAGAGCCACAGGTGGCTGCAGCGGAAGCTTCTAGCACGGCAAGTTGCCCCCGTAATACTCCTCCGAGACTGTCAAGGTGATTCTGGTCTGTACCGGGAAGCCAAGCTTGTTACCGAAAACCCGGACAACAACGAGAAACCCATCGGTCTGCTAACCTACGTTTGCCAACGCTGCATTTCTGAACGTTACCGATCGTAGGTGTTGAGCATGGCCGTGGGTGTACACATCCACGTCAGCGTCAAGCAGGCGACGCAGGCAAAAGTATTGTATTGGAGGGATGCCTTCCAACATAATTCACGTCTGCACAATAGGCTTGCCACACGCAACTCTAATTCTATAAAGCACATGCCTGGTAGGCAAGCAAGCAAATAGGGTATCACACTTCACAAGGCTGGTACTTGTTTCACGGGTGCGACAGCCGAAGTTCGTCTTGGCCTTGCTTGGTATAGGTTCGGCGGAGGCCACGGTCTCGCATTCTGAAGTTGAATGCGAGATCATTTATCGAGCATGGGATTCCAGACTCCAGTTTTCACAATTCAGCCCCCTGAAGCAGTCGATGTGTGAGGACCAAGGTACTCGAATGGGTACTCGAGTTTTTGATCGAACATCCCTTCCCACGTAATGCGAGCTGTGCATTTGTTTGTTCGTTTGTTCTCGGATACTATGACAACTTTGGCTGGTCAGGTTGGTAATGTGGTGGGGCAGACGGGATTCAAAGTCATGCAACGGGATTGACATGGACGATTTGTTGATCTTGAATAGCACTTGCATGGCCTGTCGCTTGCGGCAAGAGCTGGTGTGAGGCAACAGCAGGATTATTGGCTGAATCCTTGATGGCCAAGCATTGCTCTTACTTACTCCTGCAGGCTCTTGTGTGATGGGTGCTTCCGAATCATAGTAACTCATGCCGTCAGCCTCTCCGGATAGTGTTGGTGAAGCGTCGTGCTCAGGGTAGCCGCATACCAATTCCCATCTCCGCATATGTTTCTGGTGTTGTGGTTCAGGTATGCCAAGATTCAGCGGCCCGCCGTCAAGACACATTTCCGATCTTCGACCAGAGATATCTAGGATGCCGGGTCCAAGGATTGAAACCCTTCCTGCCCACTACCCATGTACATAGGTAGCTCGTCTAGCCCTTCATCAGAAACTCGTCGGCGTCGGTGCGGCTTCCACTGGCTGACGCAGTGCAGGCAACTGCCAGTGGGCCACCGCGGGGGCTCGGACTACTCCAAGACCCCGAAGCGTTTGTTGATATCCTTACAGTTCAACGCTTTTGCCCGGATTCGTCAGCCACACACTTCCAAGACATCAACAGACTTATTGACTGGATGACCAGGCAGGCTGGCTGATGTGACTTGCACCGGAACGCTTACCGCCGTATGCAAGCATGCAAGTGCTCCAGACCCTGCTGTGCCTGTTGTACTTTGGTTGGCAATCGCTTTCGGGTTACTAGCCATTCTATATCCACCCTAAAATATATATGGAAGTACCAGTTGACATGTTATGAATTCGCAACACTTAACATGTTTCTCACCTAGGTACTCTGTATGTCCTGAAGGGCCATATTTCGCGGGTTCCAAGTCGCTGGCGGATCGTTCTCGAACATGACCAGACAAATTGTATTTGCGCATCTGTGCCTGTGCCAGTCGAGTCTAAATACAGACCTTGACGCAAGTGAGAGCCCTGGACCTCAGACAGTGTGGGGCGGCGAGGAATCAGGCAACAGGGTGCAATCGAGCATCCATCTCGACGTTTTCCCTTGGCACACACAGCGCCGCCTGGTATCAAATGAAAGGCATGGTTGCGCACTGAACTATGACATCGGGTATGAAACGAATGGCCCTTCAAGGCATGCCCCTTGCGATGCTGTTTTTGCTTGACATGACAAGGCTGTTGGTTTCTGTAGACGTTCCCTGCACCTTGATGTCGTCACACACTTGCCCTGCGAGGGCCCAGTACCAAGGATTCACACACATGGGTCGGTCATCTTGATATCCATGTTTGCTTTCGCCCAATCTCGAGGGCTTAGCCAGCCATCAACCACATCACGGAAATGCAGGAATGCATGGCCTTGCACGCCTCCGTCGTGACTCAACCACGGGCTTCGCAGCAGCCCGTCCGGCTCCGTCGTGGGGTGTGACGGCTCCGACCATCTTGCCCCCTTGCAACCACGCCCACTCATACTCCGTACTCCGTAGCTGAGATTGAAATCCGTGGGCCGTCAAACCGCTGGAGTATGTGGATCTGTGGGCCTAAGGGTCAAGATAGGTGACTGTCCCGGCGTGAAGCCCCTTCAGCTTTTGTGGTTCGAAATCCTTGCTGAGCACATGGCGGCGCCAGCGAGACGAGCAAGCTAGAAGCCCCGTCATTTCCCAAGCCTCTTCCTCAATTCGATGCCTCGTCGTTCGTTGTGCTCGCCCTGTTGTGCCCCGACCCAGGTAGTGAGCGGAGTTAGCTTGCATGCCTTCCAGATCTAACAAGGCTTGTAATGTTAGTTTACCTCCAACCGGCTAGCCTGGACTTCGGGCGTTGTCATTCCCGGTGCCCGTTGTTCATAAGCACAACAGGGACGTTCACGTTTTGGCGTAACGAGCCAACAGTCGCTAGTTACGTGGACTCGGGTTTTAAGTCCGCTCTGGCACCTGAAAGGAGAAGTCTACTTGGTTAATCGAAGACCTACAAAACTAGCTGAATGTCCTCCTGCCCTCCTTGACTGAGCAGGTGCAGTCGGTCTCCTGAAGTCCTTCTCCAGAGCTCCTTCCATAGATCCTTGCACGTAGCATTGGTCTTTCCCAAAGACGACTTCGAATCTGCTACTCCGTGTTGCGGTCAGGTTACGTGCGAACTACTAGCCTACGCACCTCTATTGACGTCCACATTCACCATTCGCATCAACAGTTTTAGATCGAGTTCCTTCCAAAAAACC